AGGTTTTTGCCTTAGTGAACTTTGAGGAGGGGTCTGCCAGAATGACGGCTAGGAACAAGTAGGGTACAATGTGCTGGGAGGAGAGAGAGACTGAGCTGGAGCAGCCAGAGCTCACACTGAGGTCCATCTTAAAACAACAGGAATAAGGTGGTACCTGTGGACCCTTGACATCCCCACTCCCCTCTCTGACAAAGATCGTACCATTGTGTATCCTTTCCCCTCCAGGTCCAATACCCCCTTGAACGAATGGGCAGCCAAAGGCTATTCCTTATCTTGTATCTGTTTTTCTTTAAAACATCTCATTTTAATGTTTTTTCCCAGTTTGATTTAAAGACTGAAGCAGGGATCCAACCCTTCTGCCTTGAGAAGAATTACTGGCCTGATTGTGTCTCAGGGCGAGGGGAGTTCTCTGATACACTTCCTCCCTGTAGATGTACTGGATACTTGCTTTTCTCCTCTAGCTATCACCCTGAGACTGTTCTGTGCTTTCACCCTCTGCTCTATCTTTTCTTTTTATTGTTTAGTTACCATTTTCCAGGGACTTCTGAAAAAAATTCATTTTGCTGGAACTTGGTAATGTAGCTTCTAGTTTGGAGGTAAATTCTATCTCTGCACAAGAAAGAATATCGTTTTTTTCTATTTTCTGGAATATTTTTTGTGACATGTTAACATCAACAATGCATGTCTTTTTGAAGCCAGAATCTCAAGTATGTTTTAACAACACATTCGCTACAGCAAAGCAAAGCAAAATGTAGCTACTTTACATAGTGACACACACTGTGACCCCATGACCTTTCAGCAAGACACATGACTATTCCTCATTTGTGATGGAAAAACTGGTATAAAATTGAAGCAATAACACTGCAGGGGGGCATGCCATGATCTGAAGCCTAACAGCACATTTATAGCTTAATCAATGGTCTAGAAGGAAAAGACTTATTTTTCAGTGGCTTTGACTTTGCCTTCACTGGGTGTGTACTGGAAGATGAAATCTTTTGTGGTCACTTTTGGAGAAGCAATTCAGCTGCTTTTGAGAAGCAAAGAATAAAAATAAAATTGGTTGGGTCTATGCCTCACCTAAGGTTTCCTATGCTTACTACTGTTTGTAAGATAAGTGTTGGGGAGGAGTTCAGTCTAATGACAGGACGTGGCAGTAGATGCACATGCTGAGGACATACTAATGATTTTTTAATGAGGGATCTAATATGGCTTATTTTACTTACAGAAATACTCTGTATGCTTGCCAATAGCGTTAAATACCTAAGGGCTGTGCTATGCTCAGGAGTTCATGCAGTTTAAGTTGAAATGCACCTATATCCCAATCAGATTCTGACAAACCCCATCACATTCAGTGGCACTTTTAGGTTCAGACAGGGAGATGAAAAACATCCTTGTTACCCAATACAGTTCTGCCTGAGAACTTGCCTTCTAAACACAAACATATACCAAAGAAAGAATACTCTTCTGGTGAAGTTAATGTCATCCATGTCACCCTACTGACAAAATAATTCCTTCTGCTGGTTCTCACTATACAGGAAAAAACTTTCAGCACAAAGTAGTCCCTACTACATTTGGAGCAGAGGGATTACAGTAGCCTCACAACCATCCTGGCTCAGCAGTCCTTCTGCTGCAATTCACACCCCAATTTTACCTGCACCAGAGGCTTATCTCACAGTGAGGGGATCACAGACTCAGGGATCAGAATGACAAAACCCACATCGCTTTTAAATAGGCCTCAGGCTTTTCACAGTCTGTCGTTTATGGTATTCCCTACAGGTATATCTTATTACCTATAGGTATAACTTATTCCCCAAGCATTAAGGATGGGGATTTCCCATAAAACAATCTAGAAGAGGCAGAGAAAATGAGAATGAATCCCTGAGTGTGCCGCCTTTTTTTATAGACCTGTGCTGTTGTGTCGACACAATAGGCCCATACTAGTGGTTCAACAGGAATGTACTATTCCAACAAACAAAAGGAGATTTTTGTGGATGTACAAAACCTATGTGGCTCATTTCAGAGATTTAAATATTATTTAACTCACTGTTAATCCAAGCTGTACTCTTTTAGAGGAGCAAAAGCTTGATTCTCCACAAAAGAATTCAGAAAAAGATTAAGTGAAATGTGTATATGGGAGACAGGATTGGACAGGGGAGGAAAATGGAGGAAAAATGTTATTCCAGTCTAGGCTTGAATGAAAGGAATATTCAGACAGGATTTCTTCTTTCAAAAGGTAAAGGGCCTTGATAATCTGGGGGGGCACTAGTAGGGCAGGTTAGTACCATCTGTGGCTCGGGTTGGGGTGCAGACACATACGGTTACAGGCAGAGGAATCTCCAGCAATGCAATAATGATGTAGGCTGTCAGCGTGATCTCGTCGTTCACTCCACCCTGCAGGGAACCACAAAAGTAGATGGTGATCCCACACAGCACCACTGGCTTCTCCCTATGCTACATATCTACATCCTGCAGGGACAAATTCTTCCTAGCCTCCTTCTCATGGTAAGTCCTTCAGAAGCTGCTGTTGGCTTCTTCCTGCTTCTGTGATAGCTCACATATTTAACTGCCCCTCCTCCCCAACCCCCAAGTGCTGAAATAGCTCTGTTGGTCCCAGAGTGATTTACAGTCAAGCTCCAGCCTGACAAAGCCCATGTGGAGCCAACGAGGCAGACATGTTACCTTCATGGCATTGTTCAGGAGTGTCCCAGAACTACGGAAACAGCCGTTGTCTTTCTGCTTTTGAGTGAGCCAGATCAAAGCATCCTGGATGTGCTTCTCATCTATGAAGATGTGAGGCCGGGCCTGGGCAAAGGACTTGAGGACAAAGGCTGTGAGCCTGAAAGTGACAGAGGGAACTAAGACATCCTGAGCAGGCCCTGTATCCATCATAGGTCATAGGGCCCCTGTGGGCATCACTGTAGGAAAGCAGCAGAGGCTACAGGACTTGATCACAGGGGCTGGTTGGAAACTGTGACCTAGCTTAGCGACTCGGTGAGATAGGGACCAATGGTAAATGGAGCCTGCCATTCATAGCCCTGAGGGCTGCAGGTAGGTGGGCAATGGCATCTTCTGCTAACAAGAACTAGCTAGGGCATGCTGCAGGTCACCCTCACTTGAGCTGAAGAAGGGTGTCAGAGGAGGTAAGTAGCTATCAGTGTAGCATTGCAAACCTAAAAGACATCTCCTTAGCTTCCTTCCCTGCTCCATTATCCACATGATTATCCTATGATGCCATGATTATAATTTCATCTCCACCTCCATTCAACCTCCACAATGACCAAGTCCAAGAGAATACTGAGGAAAGGGAGGGCATGAAAAGCGGAAATGAAAAGCCAGTTGTACTGAAGTCTTACCAGGTATTCCCAACTTGCCCATAACGGGGCCCAAAGGTGCTATAAGAACCATCCCAGTGTTTGTAGTTCAATTGCCTTTGATACCCTGAAATAGAGATTGGAAGAATATTTTAGTTGTCCCAGTACTTTTCAAGGAGCCATGCAAAGGAAATGTAGCAGACATGGGACACTGTCCCCCTTGTATGGCACAAGTGTGAGCTACGCTGCTTAGTGTTACGATGGAAGTTCAGGCAACAGCTGCGAGTGCTTCCATCCTTGTGCTCTTCCTCTCTCCTAAAACATCTGGAAACTGGGTATCTGTGGTCATTGCCGCTCTCTGCCCTAGACTTGAGAGAAATGGGAAAACGGTTCCCAGGGGAGAACTGAATACATAGGTGAGCCCCACACAGGATAAGGATGCAGAAAACAGGATAATTTCCACTGAAGGAAGTGCAATTTTTCTGCAAAATAACTGAGTAAAAACAGTCCATTGTTAGTCAGCAGATACCTACCATGTCCATATGTACTGGTGTTATGTCTGCCAACATGTCCTAGCTAGTGTCTTAAAATTCTGGCCTAGTCGAAGGTGAGTGACACTTTCTAAATCTTAATCCTAAGGAGGATCCAAGATCTACAGAAGCAGCTGCCATGATAATGGTTGCAGCCTGATTTATGTATTTGATATATCTCTTTTCTTATGGAGAGAACTCTGAGTTATTGCCAGTCCTGGACTTTTTCTATGTTCCCGTTTGGATGCTGTCCTCTCTCACCCTGCACCTCCACCTGAGTGCAGGATTCTCTCTCTTACAAATATTGTATTATATACACCTGACCTACCACGTTCCCTTAATGCACCAGGACAACCTCCCCCAGATCATACATGCCAGTGGCCAATAGTGTCCTTATCCAGTTGCCAAGGGAAGGAATGAACAGAGAAGCAAAAGCTGTGTTCTAGCTTACCGCTCACTAAGTATCCGATGGCCTTGGATTTGACCTCCTCACTCAGCTGCCCTGTCTTGTTCAGATAGTCCAGGACGTAGATGTTGGGTGCAAACAGGACCATGTTCTGCTCCCCACAGCCGAACGGCATCTGGAGGAGCTGGTGCAGGTTCTGCATGGCAGTGCCCATGATGTCTCCTGGGGAACGGGACAATTTCCAGGGTAAATTAGCACAGTTCAGGGCTTGCCAGTAGACTGAGCACAGCCTGAAAAAACATGGCAGTGTTCCAAAGAGCATGTGACACTTTAAGAATGCTTCACTTACCTAGCACTGAGAAATATGCTCTGGCTGAGCCATCCACCACAGTCTTTGGGAGAACCAGGGAGACTGGCTCTGACATTGACTTTTCTGGGATAAAAAACAGATCAATTTGGTTACAATTCCGGATATATCTACATGCATGGGTAGCAGCTAGGAGGGTGAGACACCATCCCCTGCACAGGGGTTTCCTGCCTTCAACAAATCCATTCATCTGCAATTTTGCTGTGGAAGCTTCCCATCTTGTGTTGGGCCTGCAATACCCTCACACACAGACTGTCACAGAGTTCTACATGGCACTATCAGCTGGCCTTGACTGACAAATACACTTTCCAGCCTATTTTTCTGGCCTCTTCTGCTTTGGTGGGCAGACCTGGCTTACTACAGAGTCCGGTTTGTGGTTTTACACCCATTGCACGAAAGACGTTAGAGATAACCCTATTAAATCCCAGATATTCTCTCCCTACAGGGACCTGGCCAGCCTCAGTTCCTAAGAGGTATGCTTCTGCCCCTGTAATTGCAGGGTCTATTACAGCCTCTGCTTTTCTCCTTCAGGAAGAATTAGTTTCACTACCAGTTGGACATACATCTAGTTTGTTCAATTATATCAGATCCCTACACCTTTCTTCTCATAGTGCACATTCACAAACCTTGTCTTCTCCCTTTGTCTTTAGTCTCTACCTCAGCAAAGAAAGTCTTAGAAAGCAAAAGGCTCTTACCAGATCCACAGAGCACGGAGTTGTAGGTAGTTTCCACCTCAGTCCCTTCCGGCTTGGGGAAAAAAGCAAGAAAAAAAGCAAAAAATGAGAAACAACAACAACAAGAAAAAAGAAAAAGAAGAAATATCAAGAGGGAAACTAAAAGGGACTCTAAGAAAAATTAAGTATTATAAATTCTTCTGTGGTAATAACTCCATTATACTGAAAAGTCTTTAGAAATTGCTTACAAAGTTTTTTCCTCCCTGTGCTAAACTGAGGATAATTGAGGACTATAACATACTGGCTAATTGCAAACATGAAATTTAATACATGTTCTTTCCTTTCTTATTAGTGAGAGAGGCCCTGCAGCTTCAGAGGCTATGATGCAGATAACATGCAAGATGATGTTACCAACAGTGCTAATAGAGCCACAGGGCTCGGTCTTCCAAGGTGCTACCTTGGCCCAGTGTAGCAGAACTCTTCAGACTGTGATGTTGGCTGAGTGTCTGGGACACCGGTAGGATACGTATGCAAGAGCTTTGACAGGTGGCAACTAAAGTGCTCCAATGCACCCACAAGTGGCACGTTACAACACCCAAAATTTAAATACATGCCACAGTCAACTGGTGATTGTATCCCTCCGTTTCAGAAACTTCTAGCCTAATTTTTGAAGTCAGCAAAGAAGCCCTGTTTTCTGTTGGGCTGGTCGAAAACATTCTGCATAAAACTCAGGAATCAAATATTTACTAGAAAATGTATTTTGTCAGAGTTTATTTCAGTGAGAACCTCGCATCAATTTTTTTAACCTCCAAATAGGAGAGTTCCCATTGCTTCATTACTGATTCCCAACTTTTGCCAGTTGAAAATTTTTTCCAGCATGTAAATAATGGTCTTACTGTCTCACACAGTTAAAATACATTGTCTCTCATCCTTCAGTATGAAAAGACAAAGAAAGATTAAAAGAGTAGGGTCAAAAAAAAGAAAAAAGAAAAAGCTTTTAGGATAAACTATGACAGAGCTAAATGCTTCTGTTTGTAAAGGCACCTTCTTGTTTGTTTCAGTATGTCATTCTGAAATGCAACTAAATGAGAAATCCATTGTTTTGTTTGATTTTGAACATTTCAACATGAAATTAAAACATACAAACTGTAACTATTTGAAAGATTTTCCTTTCCAGCTGAGAAATTCCTGGGGGAAAAAACATCCTGTTTCCAACTAGCTCTCAGCAAGGCTTGGTTTCCCGAGGGGCAAGAGGACGCCCCAGGGGCTCTGGCACACTTTCTTCTCTCTCCCCGGGATGCACTGCCTGCTGCAGGGGGTATTGACATCCATGTGTTTGGGACAATGCAGCTCCACCCCTAGCAAGTTACACTGTATCCACCCTTGCCAATTAATTGTTCAGCCTTGGATGCTAATCTCTGATTCTATCCAGACAGGGCTTGCTGCAGATTAATTACCTCATTAGAATAACAGGATAAGACCAGTAATCTCTCAGACACCCTGACAGAAGTAATTTTAATGCTCATTCAGTTATTTTCACTCCCCCACCATCTGGGAGAAAAGACTTTACAGTTCTGATCTTCCGGTATCTTCAAAGGACAAAATAAACACTCTTTTTCCTGAAGGCATATATGAAATTAGGAAGTTTTTCTGAAATGTTAAACAGTTATTTGTGCCCTGATACATGAAATGCACTATATAATCAAATTCATTTCTAAATAAGTGAAATAATAATAAAAAAAAACCCAGAAGCCTAACAGATAGGATTGTTGTTCCATCATTACATTCAGGTTAGCCAAACATATTCTGAAGTTACGTATTACATGAATCTTAGCTCTGCCTTATTGAAAAATGGAATGTCTGCAATATAAGGAGTTGCAATGTTATATATTACACCTGACTTAATTTTGTTAAATACAATTATTCCTTCCTGTCATGCATAGGATTGACAATATTTTGACATGTAATATTATATAGATTTCACTATACAACAAGCTAGCACTCTTTGTTTGCTATTAATATCACAGGGAATATTATACTGTGGGTTAATTTTATGACTGGCTATTTATCATGGGAAAAGCTGTGATTTCATCATTGCAAAACACTGCTTAAGAAAAAAAATGTACAAAAGAATGCAAAAATAAAAAGTTAGTTCTTACTGTTTTGAACATTCTTGAAAGTGTAATTAAAACAATTCAAAACAATGATGGCAGTTTTGTTTGGAAATATTTGTAGATTGTGGTGACTGTTCTATATTCCAGAGTACTGGCCATGTGCTGAAGGAGAAGCATAAGGTTTCTGGCAAGTCTTCCATTTACAACTTATCCCTGTGATTTATTACAGGTAAAACCAAGGAGTTCTCATTTATCTCCCAGATGATGTGTCTGGGACAAACCTGTCATTATTGCCTGCCTTATTATTTCTGTCCCACTATGTAATGTAATACCCTGCTTTTACTATGGCAACATTATGAGTTATGGGCTCTATTGGCCTGTGTGAGATTTATCAATGCTTATTTTATAAAAGCGTGCAGAATAAGAGTCACACAAGCCATTATTGCTGCTATCATGGCTAAAACAGAAAACCTTTATCATACAGCAACTGTTGCTGTGGAGCATGAAATTATTATTACTTTTCTGTGCCACCAAACTCAGCAGCCCACATACCTCCACCAGCAGCTGTCTGATGACCGTGTCCTTCCGCCCTTTCTCAGGGGTCTCCACAATGGCGTTCCCGCAGGGCTGCTGGTTCTGCAAGGCCTCAGTGCTCACCGAGAACTCCACCTGCCCTGGAGGAAACAGGGGTCAGCCAGCACTGCTGGGCAGTGCCAGGGAAATGTGGGCTTGTGTTTGTGCTGGGCGCTCTCTGGTGCGTTACAGAGAAGCTTTTCCAAGAGGAGAACTAAACTTGAGACAGTGTTTTATCTTGATCCAGCTGTAGCCTTCCAGGCCACCTCCTTTGTGATAGCCACCCAAGTAGGTGTTAGTCCATCACCAAGAAAAGTAGAGGAGGGGCAGGTCTTGTAAATCAGTCTTGTTCTGAGAGACTTCAGAGGAAGCAAGCTTTGATTAAAATATTTCAGACTCAGTCACATTAAGCTAAGACATTCTCAGCTCCACAACATTAATGTCTGAGTGCTTTGCATGCATTAAGGGAATTTGTGATTTCTATTCAAATATTAAGAAAACAATGGCCCATAATACCTAAACAGTTTGGTTTGGACCTGGAAACTGCATCCCAGTGTAGTGTCTCAACCTCAGGGTTGGACCTCTCACTTCTGGCATAGACAAGATCCTTCCAGACAGGTTTGGAGTCACCTAGCTCCTCACACCAAAGATCTGATGTCATCCACAGATATCTTATCCCAGTATTTTCTTGTTGCCTGGCCTCTTACCTAGAGACCTTGGTGTTACTGCCCAAGCCACAGTTTTCCTTTCATTCATGCAGATGCAGTAGGATTCTTCCTGCTTCTCTACTGGTGTAGCCAGGAAATTAGTAGATTCAGCCAGAGACACGCTGACCTGCCGATTGTACAGAGAGGTGTCATGAAGGTTGGAATTGCAGAGAAGCTGGGGTTACTGGAGACAGTGCAGTACATGGAAATGGGTAGTGGAGCTAGTTATACTGTGGGACTGAGAACCTTATGGATATTGCAGAGCAAGAACTGGGTGATAAAGTGGGAAAAGAGTGAGATGTGTACAACTGTAAGAGATTGCGGAGGTAAGTGTAGAGAAGAGAAAGTGTATCTTTGGAAAGGAAATAAATTCTGGGAAAATGGAGAGCATGGACCAGTTGTGTGAGTAAACGCAAAGCAATGACTACAAACTTAGCCATGAATTAAATACCCCCCTCATGATTAATTAGGTGAAGAGGTAAAACACTAGCAGTAGGAAAGCTAGTAAGGGAACAAGGGAGAATAGAATAAGGAACCTGAAAATAGCAAAAAAACCAGGACAGATAGGGAAATAAATGAGAGTGCATTGGAATGGCTGATCAGTGCCCCTCCTTGTTTCAGCTTCATTCTTTTTAGAATAAAAATCTGTATTTATAAAAAACTGAGCAAAGGTGATTGAGATTTTGTTCAAATCACCTCTCAAATTCTCTCGTCGTTTTTGTTGGTGAAAGAATGCAGTAAGAATAGTGAAGCTATATAGCTCTGCTCAGTGTCTTAAGGGCAGATGCAATAAATCACAGGAAGTCTACATATTCCAGCAAATGTGGTGTGATACTTTGTGAGATGTTTATATGAGATGAGACTAAAGGCTGAACACAGGTATCCACCCTGGTGAACCTGGAGTTTCCATGTGGGTATGCAATGATGCTGTGGTCTGTGGATAACCCAAGTTTCACATTTCTGTAGGACAATGACATAAATCTTTGATGACAAGGCTGGGGGTCTCAGCAGCAGAGCTTTGGGTTCTGAATCAAATGCAGCTTTCAAAGCTTGGAAAAACATATTCCCCCTTCATTAAATACACCAAGAATTCCTACATAAGTACACCTATATGAAATTATAGTCAGAGATCAGTCATCTGGCTTGGGAAACCATGATGTAAGTGGCCCATTGTAGCCTTCCCTAAGCCGTCAGACTGAGCAAAGTTGTGAATGTCTCTTACCCTGATGCAGGCGGTCAGGTAGTTCAAAACGGTGGCTTTCAGCGTGAAGGACTCACCACGCACCACAGAGTAGGGCAGGGTGAGCTCTACAAAGAAGGGCTGGAAGGCTCTGAGGGACACTGTCGGGGACAGGCCAAAGCCCGTGTCTGCCGAAGTGCAGAATGCGTTGGCTTTCCACTCGGTGATGGTGTCAGGGATGGTCACATCCAGATCAGCATTTCCCTCAGAGCTGGCGAGGGACGGAGAACAAGATTTCAGTTATGTTCTGGTGATCATCTATGTTTTTCTCAGCCTACTGAACAACACCTGCTGACAGCAAACTCCTGACCAGTTGGGATATGGCCACTGGCTTTTGCATGCCCTCCCAAAGCATCCTATATTTAGTGACCTTGAAAAATCCCTCTGTCCTACTAGAAATACCCCTCTCACTGAAATACTGATACTTCCATTGAGGCTTAAATATCTTTCGAGGTTTTGCCCCAGTGACCACACTCTACGTTCCCATAAACACTTACTTCACTGAAACTATGTCCCAGATCCATGTCTCAGGGAAGTACTTCCGGACGGTCTCCACAGGATTGCCAGCAGCCATATGTTCTGTTACTTCATAGTCCGAATCTTCAAGCAGATTCAATGCAGCGACTAGCAAATTTAAGGACAGGAAGAAAGGAAAAGATGTGTCAAACTCCATTCTAAATCAGGAGCATACTTTCCTTCCAGGTAGTGATTATTCTTAGCTAAAATTTTAAAATTGAAAGAACAACTTTGAAACCCTGGCCACTGAAAACAAATGTATTTCTCTGTTGTCATCTCAATATCTCATTTTTCCTAATGTTGCTGCTCTTCTTACAGAGATTGGATGGGGTTGAGCATTCTTCCCCCACTGCCAGCAAACCCAGCAGTGCCAAAAGATGTATGATGGTGTTATTGAGGGTACATTTCTATTGCAATACAGAGTCAAATGTGGAACTTACTGCTTCCAGATATTACGGTTGCACATAGTTATTAAATTTCGTTGAAGAATTGATTGTGTTTATACATGACCAGAAACAGAAGCCACACTTAGCCCTCCCCTCCTCCATCTAAAATTATTTTGAGATGAATATGTGTCTTTACATCTCTGGCCATTAGCAAATAAACAGTTCCATAACAGGGAGATGCTTTCTCACAGTGTTGCATAGTGTTGTTCCTTATGAAAAGCTTTCCATCAGCCTTAGAAGACTTTACATCTTGTCAAAGCAGCCAGTTATCTCAGGCCATGCTCTGAGGAAAAATCCTGCATTTCAAAACCAAAGATCAGATCTGTTATGAATAGAAGGCTAGAAGCTATCACCAGACCAAAAGCTATCATGCTGGGATACAGCACCAGAAAAGTCGGTGACTGGAAGTGATATATATATAGCCTTTCTAATCTCAGAACTATTCAGAAAAAAAAAATCATTATTGTATCTTCACAGTCACTGAAGCTGCAGAGAAGTGACGTGACCTACCCAGCCTCTTATAGGCATGTGCGTGGGAAAGCTGGGGACAGAACCAAATTTCTCAGCCCCCAGTGGTAAAATATCTTCCCACAGAATTGTACCACCTTCTCATTTATCTTGGCCCACTTTTGCCCTAGTCTTTCCTCTAGTTATTGCTGGAATGTGACTACCTAGAAGTAAAGAAAGACTCCTTTTTTAAGTTTCCATAGCTGGACTCAGATCTGATGGAAGAAAGCCACTACTTTGTGCTGGCACAGTCCATCCAATGTAGGCAGACTGTCTTGGTGCCTACAGGATCCCTGCTGTAGGGGCTGGCACAGGAGTCACCGAGCACACACAGTTCTAGCCAGGCACATCTGTCTAGCTGGGGATAAGCAGGCAGAGGTGTATCAGTTTCATATTTCAGGACTGAGGCCAGAAAGGAGTGATCCTGAATTAGGTCAGTGTTATCTGACAAGAGAATCTGGTCTGCCTGGTATAATTAATATTCAAATAAGTAGAGGGAAAGAAAGAAGCAGGGTGGTAGATTTTAGGTAGTTGTGTGGGAGGTAAAAGGGAGCACGTATTCTTACTAGGGCTACTGTAACTCCTTTCCATCATGTGTCCTGCGTAATGCTGGCAGATTTCAGGCTTATGGATCTTGCTGCTAGTGAAGACTTTTAAGCCCAATTCCTAGTAAAAAAAGAGAAAGAAGAGCAAAAAAAAATTTCAAACACAGTTTTGAAAATAAACTATTTTTAGTACATCAAGAATAGATGTACTTATGTCTGGTATTGATCAGAATTACAAAGGTCTGTATATAAGTGCTAGTTAGACTGGTTCAACCCAGATGTTGAGGCTTTATGATGTTGTACTCATCTTAAGGCTAAATGTTGGCATGATCAGATGGAAAGCTAAGGCCGCAGATCTACCTTGGGGACTTCTGCCTGGGTGAAAATGACATGTGTGAAAAGCATTAGATTGAGGGTACCCAAAAAGTCTTGTACAGGACTCTCTAGATGGGTATAGGTGTTTTTGTGGGTTATCAAAGTAACTGGTACTTTGTTAAACACCTATCATCTACACCAGATAGAGAGAGAACATACACAACTGTGGAAGAGTTTCTAATATTATGGTACCAGGGGTCACCTCTCAGGACTGTTTCCTTACTTGAGCCCATTCACAGGTATCTCTACTAGCAATGAGGAGACCCTTCAAAGTTTTAATGGTTCAGAGAAGCACTCAGGTACCAATGATGGGCTACACAGATGCAGGGCCTGGGCCTGGTTATTGTCCTGCATACAAAAGTTAGCAAGCTCAAAGCAAAGTTCACTAAAACACTCTTCAGGACAGGGGAGGAGAGGAGACTGTATTCCAAAAAGGAATAAGAAATTAAAACAAAAGGCTGGAGCTTACTTTGAGAATGTCATAGGCATCACCTTCGCCGTCAGGAGAAATGGGTATGTAGACAAATCCATTTAATAATATGTTGTCAAGTGACACACAAGGGTTTACGTTGTCTTCTTCCAGGTAGTAGTCCTTGAAACTATAACCCCGGATTTCCTTCAGTGGGAGAAGATCATACACCTGGGGAAATGCAAACAACCAGGGAAAAGTGTGGCAGGTCAGCACTTATAGGGACACGGACACTACTTAACACTTCTTTGTTAAAAGCCAGCTTCTAAAAAACAAATGTAGTAAATGCAGCTATAAAAATACATGGCCCCATGTCCATAGTGGTGTTAATTGTAGTTGAAGAACTGGTTCATTCTTGTGCTTGCTCATTACCAGAAATAACCAAGACTTACAGAGCTGGGAGAGAGCTCATCTTCAGGCTTCATGAGGAGAACGCTCTTGTCCACAGCACGGAGGGCACACAGGGACCTTGGTGAGGTATGGAGTTGCAGGCGTGTCTTGGAGGCAGGAAGACCTTCCTTGGGTACAAAACTCAGTCTGACCTGCAACCCCAAAAGGAAGTTAAAGCAGCCACTTTTCCAGACTCTGTTACATGCTATTATATTGAAGCATCTAGCCTTGTGAACTGAGCTCCGCTAGTGCCTTGCAGCTCTTCTAATATATATTCAGCTTTGACCAATGTAATTAATAATGACCAGTGATTCTCTTCCCTGTTCTGTCTTGCTCCACTTTTTATAGTTATGGCTTTATAACTTATTCTGGAGTTTCAGTCACTAATCCTCAGTCAACATCTGGTCAGATCATTTCATGAACCCATTGTGAATTCTGCCTCCATTCTGGAACTGATAACTGAAATACTGGCATGAGACAAACATGGGTTGCATAAACCCTGACTTATACTCACTTTATTGGGAAGGCAACTTTCAACGTGGAAATCTGCTGAACTGGCGATGACTTCCCCGCTGGGTGAAGTGGTATACACAAGCATCCGTGCCAGAGGAGCAATTGCCGCCTCAACAGGGAAGGTCAACTGAAATGTCCCGTAAGCTAACAGAGAGAAAAAAGGCTAAGCAACATACAAGAAGTTCCAGTATATGCATTTGCCTTCCCCAGATAAAAAAGACAAGTTCACTCATGCTGAACATTTTTTGTTAGCAGGGGCAGGAATACTGATACATGACTGAAGTTTATGGCTGTTGCTGAAGACACCTGCATTCAAACAGTGAACATGTAATAGCCAAATGAGATGAGTTTGGTGGGCCTCAACATGCCTTCTAGATTCTCCCCAGTTAACATCTGGCATAATTTCTTGATGTTCCCAACCCCTTTCTTCCTCAAGCTCCAAGATCTTCTGCAGTCTACAAAAATAGATGAGGGAAAAAACGTAGAAATAAGGGGCTGTTGTGATGGGTGGCAGCAGTCAAGGTTGCAGAGTGGTTGAAAGAATAACTTTGCAAAGTTACTGCTAAGCAAGCATTTAGCTGGAACACCAAACTATTGCTCCAACCACAGTGGAAAATGCCCTTCTATGTTAAAAGACTCTTCCTAGCTGGTCCTGAGCTTCATGTCACAATCTGGACAAAGGTGATAGAACATCTCTTGTTATGAGCCAGGGTGTTAGTTTAGTCACTACTACTAGACAGGATGCAGAACTTTCTGTGAACATGCAGCACGCAAGATCTTTTACTTCCATATACTCTTTATACCCACTGCAGTGCAATTCCTTCTCATAGACTTCCAAAATGCCTCCCTGGTCTCATTGTTGAAAGACTTTTAGAGATGTATCATAGCCAGTCTCAGTTACTGAAATGTGTAATCCTTGGACATTTATATGAATAAAATTAAATGTATTGGTTAGAATGTAAGTATGTGTGTGTTTGCATGCTCATAAGGGAGAAAAAAGTGAAGGAAGATGAGAGAAAGAAAGGGACACATGTTCTTCTTCCTGCTCACTGTACATGTGAGTCTCACAACACTGGTAAGAATCCACAATCTGAATAGGGTAGAGTGGTCAGCAGAAAGTGTTGGTTTGAGGAAAAAATGACCAAAACATTATGCATATTTTTTGTTGAATTTTCTAAAATTTTCTGGTCAAAAAAATAGCACCTGACAGAACTCAGAAAAAACAAAACTAACCCAACCCACTTTATTTAAAAAGATTTAATTTTGCAAATGCATTTCAATTCAAACATTAAATGTTTGAATTGAAATAATTTCTTTACAGCCCCCCTGCCCCCAAATTATCATCAGTGATGCTAAAAATGCATAGTTCTGCTTACCACCTCCAGGATTCACAGTCAGATCATGGGTGTCTGCTAATATAATGCCTCCCTTGGCCATCACCTGTGTGACAGAGAAACCTTCCTGTAATTGTTGCTACCAGTGTTGAAGGGAAGGAGAATGAACGTTCACTGGGTTAACTGTAGAGTGTGAGTGTGGATAGCACTGCCGATTGTGAGCAAAACAAAGAAGATACTAAGCAAGTGCCAGACTGGAATTTACTGTGTCTTTGGAGACAGAAATGTTCACTCCTAGGAGGACCAATGTTTCCTCATTGGTCAGATCTGGCTTCCCTTTTGTACATATTGTATATATAGGTCAGGTTCAAATGCACTTTGCCTCTGAGCACACATAAGTTTGGGGGTCATACGCACATTTCTAACAATTTGGAACAGACTGATGATCAAAAGTTCTCCTCACTCCACTCTCAGTTGCATTGTGAAACAGTCTGGAGAAAAATTTAATCAGGATTAGTTTCATAACTCGCACAGAGTTGGAATAGAAGCGCACAGGCTGTAAATAAGAAGAGCTTGAATAAGGTACCTGAAGACAGGCAGTAAGCAACAGCCTGAATGCTAGCTGTAATTTCCTCATTTCTAGAAAAAGTTTCCTTTTTCACAACCAAAACCACCTTTTACACAATTATTTTCCACATAGGGTATCTATTCCATAGCACCATATTTTAATTTCAAGATGTGGGATCCACACGTATAAAAATGTAAGTTCTCGCACTGTTTGGTTACCTGCTGTATGTATATACTTAAGACCAGCTTTCCCAGGCTAGCAGGATAAACAGGAATCTTGTGCTTCAATTTATTTTTAGCAGTCTTGAAAATAAGCACATGGACCTCTCTACCTCAGGTTTCTATTCTCTTTTTTGTAATCTCAGTCTAAGTCCCCCCAATGTTCTGTATAATCCATCAGAACAGGAGTGTCTTCTGTTCTACTGATTTCTTCTAGCTCTCCAAGGCTACTCTCATCTCTTCTGCTAGCGTCACTAAATGGGAAAACCAGAAAAATATATTTAGGGGGAAAGAAGTTTTATTTGAATATTCATCTGATTCTTCCTGTTCTCCCAAGCAAAACTGATAGATCATTGTTCAGTCACAGTTGAATTAGTCTCTCTTCTCTGCCCCCCAAAATGAATTAATTCACGGTTCTTAATGCCAGCATGTTATAGTCTGTTCCAGTTACTCTGGTATCCCAAACTTTCCATCATTGCCTGGTATGCGACCTAAGCTCTAAGCTTATTGGGCTTTTCTGGTGCTGTAGTTAGAGATGGTGCTTTAGTTTCAGTGGTCAGATGACTACCAAAGGACAAAACTGAGCAGGAGACTGCTTTCCTCCTCATATTTCATCTTCTTGTCGTAGGATGCTGGTTTCTGAACTGTGACCATACGTGAACCAGAATTTGGAATGGGGGAAACTGGGAGTGGAGTATTATGAAATGAGAGTCTTGGACGGCTGCACTCAAGACAATGATCTCGCCATCAACATTTTATCTCTCTTCTGTTCTTAATGAAACATGTACACCATACCCATATCTGCACACAGAAGACAACATGAGAAACATTACAGAAATATGTTTAAATCCCACTGCCACAGGCCACACTTTCAGTTTCAAACTCTCTCTATCATTACTGACAAAGGACTCACCATATAGCAGTGCTGTGGTTGCTCATCATGGAAAGTAGCTATATGTGTCACAGTGCTCTCTGTGGCCATAGGTTAAAGTAACCATAAATAATTCTTACCAAATAGTAAATGACAATTTTCTTCTGCTCTCCTATGGCCTCTGGTGTGAAGATATAGTGCACCTGGATCTCCGTGGGGGATCCACAACTTAATGTCTCAGGCTTTGGCTCAATTTTGAGGAAACTCTTACTGGGGGAGTAAAACCGACTTATTCTACGCATGGCATGCTCATATGAAGGTGTGATCCAGTCGCTGTCATAACAGTTCAGCTCAGGTTTATGATCAGCCTAATAAAGAAGAATAAAAAGTTCACAGCTGACCAAAACCAGGTAACAAGTCACATGAACGTCCGCAGAAACACTCAGGGTATCTTCTATATTTCCCACTCTTAGAAGAAGGTAGAAAACATGCACAGGAGACACAAAGAAGAGAGGTGACCTGCCAAGAAACTTGCTTTATCTTCCGATTGGCAGAAAGACTGATAACCCATGGATAGATATTTCCCCTGCTGATCAGAAAGACAGAGGCTTACCCCAGTCCCTCTGCCGTGTCTCTGCCACTCACTTGGATTTCCAGGGAGGCTTGCGTGAAGGTGGTAGTGTTTATAGAAAACCAGGATTGTCCCTGCTCATCTGTAGTGTAATTCCCTTTGTATCTGTCTCCATCCACAGAAATCATGATGGTTTCATTGGCAATTGGAGCATCAGTGCCATCTACCAGCTTCACCTAACAGAGCAGAAACAAACTTCAGGTTTTAGACTAGAAACAGAAAACAATTCCCAAGTCTTAAAGCCTCTTCCCCTTTTTCCTCCTTGCTAGGCGGGATGTTTCTTACGGAGAAGAACAAAAGATGTAAATGTGGAAATGTGTGGGGTGAGTCCTGAGTGGACTGAGGCAGCAACTGAGAAAATTCTCAGCAAAACAATCTGATCGGCCCAGGAAAATTATCTGTCAGAGCCCTAAGTTCCTCAGTAGGTTTTAATTCCCCTGGCCAGCTTCGTATGGGACCTCCAGCACATATCATCTGCCTCTTGGTTCAGGAACTCTAAGTTCAGGCTTGTGCCTTGCCCCAGTCCTTGACTAAAGCTACATCAGATGTAGACCTACACCCAGCTCTTTCTCCTGCTGTTCCCATCTGGTTAACTGGACTTCCTTGGTTGAGCTCAGCCCTGACTCATCACTTCACATTGTCTGGTGATTGCTGCACTGTTGGTGAAACCTGTTACTGTCACCACCCCTGCTCTGCTCTGTCTGGTTGTGTACTGTGGGACTGTGCCCTTGTTGATGAGGTCACTACACCTACCTGTGTTGTGGTCACCCTTTGCACCTGGATAACGTTCCTTTGTGGAATAGCCCACACTTGCTGCTCCCTGATGTTATTCTCATGTGTCAGAACAACAGGCTTTCTATTCTGTACTGGGCTGACTGCCAGGAGGTTCAGGTCCGTGTGTCTGTTAGAGTGCCCCAACTGACAGTAATTCGTCTGCCTGTGCAAAGGCAGAGGAAGGTGGACCATGTCAACTGCACACTGCTATTCCATCTGATGGGATTGTGCACTTGTGAGTTTGCTATGCCATTCATTGTCCACGGTCTCAGAAGTTCCTTACCCTCCCAAAGAGTGGGATCCCTGGTCTGTACTGAGAGTCCAGCAGGTCAAAGCTGATTTTGCTCATGGTGGATGTGATTCCACAGGAGCCTGTTCCAGTCATCTCTATTCCTGAGAGAGAGCACAGTAAAGAGGGATTATTAATGAATGGCAGCATTTCTAGACATGTCACTCCACTTTCCTCATCTTTGCCAGGCCCTCCTGTTATGGCCACCATCTCCATGCGATACATACCTGTGCCATCTTCTGTGATCTTGCCTTGTACCTCGATACTCATCTCATATCCCCGACGCTGGAGCTGAAATATCTTGGTCCTTACTATACCAGAAACACACCCATGAGCGTCTGCCTAAGCAGGGAATTGGAGAGAAAATTGGAATTCTGTGAACAAATTTTGTGCCTTGTGGGACAGGAATAGATACCCCAAACCCAACATGCTTAACTTCTGTCGCGAAATCCCAGCCTTATGTTCTAGACCAGAACTTGTTTACAGCTGTTTCCTACTGTTTCATCGACACATTTTCTGTGATCTGTGAGGTACTTGACACTCAGTTCTCCAAGGCACGCACTGGTTTTCTTGTTAACTCCCTCCTACCTTAGTTCTGTTTTCCTTCTCGTTTCTTCTGTTGACTTCACTTTTCCTTGTTGCCCTTTCTCCTTTTTCCTGTGTTTGATCCATATACAATACCACCTTCTTGTTTTCTCCTTATCTTCTTTGCTCTTTGCTCCCTGCCAGTCCCTCCCACAGTCACAAAATTCTTTCACAGATTCTTTTCTCAGTTTGGGGATCAATAGCTGGGACCTCACAGCTGCTAACTGGAGATTCGTCACTAGTTTCAATGGGGTCAGGATTTCAGCTGTGGGGTTTTCTTCATCAGTTCTGTTTCCGGTTTAATGATCCACCTCTTAAGAATGCCTTCCTCTGACAACATCTGCTTTTCCCTGGACAGAGTGCGATCTTTGATGTCCTACTATCTCCCAACAGTCACAGATTTGGCCTCCTTTAGACAACATTGCCCATTACCCATAAGAAAGACCCCTACATTTTAATCTTGGGACTTACCTGCCTAGTGAATTCTTCACACACAGCTTCTGCTTCTTTTCCGTAACAATTTGAAGCAGAATGGGAAAATTTCCGGCACACTTGGACATTCACCAAACCGGGAACAGGTTTCCCATAGGTGTATCTATAATCACAAAGTGTTAAACAATATATTAGATGATGAGACAATCAGTCAGAGAGTCACACTCAGACACATCTCCTTAAAGACCTCTGTGGATGACTTCCTAATATTTCTTCTTAAAGGCTGACTAATCTGATATTTTAATGATTCTAGTGATTACATTTCCATCATTTCCATGGTGACATTCTTCCATCATCCATTAGAATCTGTTCTAGGCGGGAGGTCTCTGCCGGAATGCAGTAAAAGATTGTCTGTAAAAAATTATTTCAGCTGGGCGTATCCTTGTATCACAAACTGTCGAGGGTTCAATGAAGAAGTAGAAAGGCAATGAGGGGCTCAGGAGGAGCAATTTATGAGTTAAAAATGAGAACACTGGGTTTGCACCACCTGTTTAAGTGATGTCTGATCTGACATCTCTGAGTATTTGGGGGTTCAGGATTGGCAGAGAAGCTCTAACTGAAGAAATGTAAAGACAGAAAGAGAAAATGTACAGTAAACAGGGAGGAGAGAGCTGCAGATTGGTTTGGCATCATCTTTTAAGGAACATAGAGAAGACCCTTCACTTTGACTGTTCAGGCCAAGTAGCAGGCTCAGGTTTGATAGGGTGGAGCAAGCCTGCACTAGATGTCTGGGAAAAGTATGAAAAGCCTTCCCCAGTTCTTCTTTCGGTCCTTAGCAGAAAGGAGGCGTGAAGGATAAGCGAGAGAGATTTATTCCAGCTCTGTGACTTACAGACCGCAGACGGACACTGGAAGCTCCGTGTCCTTAATAGTGATCATCTTGGGCAGCTTCACCAGGACCTCATACTTGGGCAGCACTAGATGGGAGAGAGAAAGTCTGATATGAGAAGAGTGAAGGAGAGCTGTGCACTACACAGCAACCCAAACACAGAGCCAGGATCTTCTTAATACGAACCATCACCTCTCTGTGGTCTGCAGTACAGCTCTGCTACCCCTTCCCTTTTCTCAGCCTTCACTACCATTTTGGGTTTAAAGGGAATTTAAGGAGGATTGTAGCCCTTACCTTCCCTCATCTGCAGCACGTGCTCATGTGATCCCATTGACACCAGACAGCAGTGTAGACCCCTTATATATGCACATTCAGAAGGACACACTGGTCCTGTGTGTTGTGTTCCATGTTTCACAATACAAAATTTGCAACTAAGACTTGGAGTAGCACATTCACCACCTGTGTCATTTACCACAATGAAATGGCTCGAATCATTGATTCTCTCTGTCTGTTTCTCACTGTTTTGGAGATCCCAAGCTACTGTTAGGCTCAGTAAAATGTAGCATGTGAAACTGTCCTGCATGTCCAGACAGGTCTAGGGAATCTAGCCACAGACTCTCAGGTCTATATTTTCAAGTGGACGAGGCAGCAACAAGGCCTGATATAAAGCGTGGCAAGTAAAAGACATATTTTGCTCCTGAGTATTAAGTTACATCTCTCTTCCCATATTGCAGCCTGCAACCCTAAGCCCCCAACTACTCAAGCCCAGGACTGGACTGAAGGATGTAATGGCCTGCTTCCAGGCGGTGCACCTGAGGTTTTTTTCACAGCGCAAAGAAATAAGAGCAGGGAGGGTGCACACCCAGAGCCAGGAACTGGAAGGCAATCCTGGGTTATACAGTTTAGACATAAATTTGCCTCTAGGATGGGAGGCAAACTCATTGTTTCAACCCCAGGGCACATTTCCTCAAAAGGCTGCAAGAGACTTAGCAACAGGGGAGATTCATGAGAATAAGACTAAAGAAAAAATAAAAGAAAAACGAGTTTAGTGTGAGGCTAAGAAAGGGACATACATCTTTGATTTTGGAGGATGTTCAGAATGATCTTTGAGGGAGGAGGCACAGTCTATCACCATGGCAGGCCGAAGCCTATAACCTGGTTTCTGTTCAGATGATTCACCATGTTCATACTAGCCACCATGCCTGACTTTGATCCAAATAAGCCAGCTCCCATGGACTCCAGTGACAATCTTCTTTGGGTCTGCACCCTGCGTATTCCAGAAACAGCAGGTTCTGAGCAACGCGCTGGGTCATTTGGGCTCCACGTACAGTTGGGGGGAGCCCTGGAGTGCGGAGCAGAGGCCAAGCAGCCTCCTCAAACGCACACAGCCTAGCCAGACCTGAGAAGTTTTATTTCAGAACTGGGGGTTAGAGTGCTCCCTGGGGCAGCACATTTCTCCTTACTCAGTCTCTACTACCAGGGTGTTTGCATCTGCTTGTAACATTTGTGGAGTGTTCTTCTTCAGACTGAAGTTTTCTACCAAACATATTTTCTGAGCTTTTGCAGAAACAATGAAGAACAGGAAAAAGAGAGAAGACTACAAGTAGAGAAATGGAACTGATGCAGATGATGAGAGAAAGGCAAAATAGGGTCACCAAAATATTGTCATCTCTTACTCTGTATCTAGTGCTACGTGCAACAAGCTGCTGGACGGAAAAGCGACTACAACAAAATCAGCTGAAATTGGTGCCACAAGACATGCACAGGAAGCCTGTCAGACCCTGTACTCCCAAGAGCCCTATGAGCAACTACAAGCTCAGGCAGGTTGCAGAGATGCCATAAAGTCAGCATTGCCTCTGATACTCAGCACTTTCTGGGCCAGCCCCTCTGAATCCCATTGCCTATGTATTCAGTCCCCCCCTTCTCCATGCCATTCCCAGGAAATCCCAAATCGAGAGGTCACAGTAAAAGGCATTGCTGTCAACCCCACTTGCAGCCCATACCTCCTCTCCTTACCGTATTCCTCCACGCTGAAGGAGTGCTCTACATGGGATGAGAAGCTCTTCTGCACGACAATTTTGTAGGAGCCTTGGATGGGGTCAGAGGTGAGGGGGAAGGAGAGCTGCGTAAGGCCGGTCTCTAGTTCCACCCCTTGCCATTGGTACACACGGTTCCTCTGGGGGTCCTGCAGGTGAGGATAACTCAAGGTCACAGGACAGTACAGGAGGCTCCCAGGGACAGAGCAGTCGAGTGCCCAGTATATATACATCCTGGATGGGAAATGCCTAGCTGTAATTATTCAATAATCTGTGAGGATCTGTGAGCACTTACCTATCAATTCTGCATAACTAGCATGCAAGAAAGCTTTTTAAACCTGGAGGTCCTATGTTGTCTCCCTCTCAGCTCTACCTGCATGGTAACGAAGGATGGGGCCAGGAAGCTGGGAGGGACAGACTGGCAAGGTAACAAGACAAAGAGATGGATGGCAGGAGTAAGTGGAGCACAGGGAGAAAGGAGAGAAGTTTCAGTCTCCTTCACTTGCTATACAGCCTGCTAAAAGCTTTTTTTCCATGCCTGGAATAGAGACTGTCTGAGTACCAGTGCATAATCTGCTGAGGAATGAGACACCTGATCTCAGTCTATGGGACTGAGAAATGTACACGGGTAAGAATCCAAAGCTTGTGATAGGGTCAGGGAGTGGGGACAGGAACAGAGGAAAGTATATCCCACATATGTGCATCCAGCTGAGAGCTCTCCCTCTTGTCTCTCCCCGTTCCTAATGCTGGAGCTGAAGTCTCATCACTACTACAGCGGAGTATTGCTCATTGTGAACTGACTGTCAGTAGGCTGTGCTCCAAATTCATCAGCTCAGCCCCAAATTTCATGTAGAAGTCACTGAACCAACGCAGTGGTGCTGCATAGTTTGACATACCCTTTCCAGGCTCCTTAGCAGGATGGTTAATGTTTAGAGTCTTTCATGTTCTGCCTGCTCTTTGCATTGTACCTTGGCTGTCACCAAAAGTCTATTTACTCTAGAGAGGTATGTGACTCAAGGTATGCGACTGTGTGCATTTACTTCACTGAGATTTTATCTCAGGGCTTAGGGAAAAGGGGATGTGAACGGCATCTCCCAGTTGGAGGTCACCAGTCAGGGGGCAGAAGAGGGGGCCTTCTTCCCAAGAAGCATGCTGGGAGGAAGGCATGGTAAGTAAAACACGTCCCACGGCTCTGACCAAATCCTCTTCATCACCTGCTGAAAAGCTCACCACTTATTGTGAGGGACACCACCGGCTTCCTTGGAAGAGGAATTCAAGAAAATGTTTACAGCTGGGCTTGTGAACTTGTTGCCATTTCTGTGATGTATTTATAGGGAAGGCCTGAAAGTCAGTTTGTTTGTTTTTCCTCAGAAAGGTTTTTTTTTTAAAATGACAGAAGCAATAGTCAGGATAATAGTTCAGAAATAATATGCTCATACTGACTTCTGCCTTTGTGGCTGACTATGATCAATTAGTGACATTAAGGGTGTGGACTGATGAACATTTATTTCCTTAGCACTGCTGACTTTAAGCTGTCACCTTTCTTCACTCCTGCCACCCTTTCCGTTGGGCCAGTCCAAATTTCATGCAAGCATGTGGTAAACTGCACTGGCAGATCTGATCTGGCCAAAAAAAATACCCTAGAGAAAAATGGTGAATTTGCTGCCAGATGAGTTTCCCACTCTACAAGTCTGCCTTGTAGACATCTGGAAAGCCAAACAAAGGGCAGCGCTGGACTGAGAAGGGAGAGGTGATGGTGGACAAGGCTTACATAAACTGGCTTAAAAAGCATGGACAAACACCATCCCTCACAGACTGGAGCTGAAAACACAGGATGGCCTTCCTAGTGATTTAAAATTGAAGCCTTTCATGGTACTGACACAAAACAAGGTTATGAAATAATTCAGCTTGTTAGGCAAAGGCATATGGGATTTCTGAAGGCAGTGGATACGATTTATTTCTTCTTGCTCCTTTCATGAAAGTCCTGTACTCAGTCAAGTATCATCGCATTGAAGGGGAAGGGACCTGTTCTACAACCCCATGGGAGAGCCTCAGCAGAAGGTAGTTCTGAGATGCTCTCCTCCACCTGCTATCCCACACCACACACTCTCTTACTCTTCTTTCTCCAAATATTCATAGACCATCAGTGGCCCACCAGCTCTGCAGCTCTGTCCTGGAAGTTTGCTGAGGGGAAGAGAGAGTGACAGCACTCTGACAGGAGGGTAGAAAAGAGGAGCATAGCCTGTTTCTGGCCCACCTTCTGCCTCCCCTGTGTGGCAACACCCCCAGCTCTAGAGAGAGACAGTGCAGAATGGAGACAGCAACCCCAAGCAGCAAGGAGCAATGACAGGACTGACTACATAGGACCCATAATCACGCAAACCAACTTAAGATTTGTGCACGATAATTTCAGCACTGTTTGTGCTGCTATCATGGCTTCAGGGTCCATCGCTGGGTCCTTCCCATCAATTTTCCACTAGAAGATGGCCCAGATAATAATTGTAAATTCTGGTTTCTCAGCTGAAAAAGTGAGCACTTGAATCATTGACAGAAACATCCCTCCTACTAACTTTTGTCTGTCATTGAAGTTCAACCATTTAAAAAAAACCAAACAAAAAGGGCATGCTTGGGAAGATAGGGGACATCTACTTACATAATTTTGTTTCTTTAGTTTTGCTAGTTTGTTTAACGCAGTTCTGTGGTTTCAACCACACTTGGCAGACAGAAAATCTTAGTTCTGCTTGGGAAGAGGAATAAGCCATTCCGGTATGACCTCTAGGCAAGTGTAATTCTGTTCACAGCATGGCTTGCACTGATTAACTATTTTGTTCCTACAGCACATTCCCCAATCAAAGAACCATTGTCGGAACTTACTTTGATGCCCAACTACTCAGCCTTCCTTTACACAAAGGAAAAAGGTCATGCTACCATGTTTTTTCCCTTGTACCTCTGCCTGAAAACACCGCTGCTGGAGACTACTACCTCTGTGCCTGCACATTCTGCTGAAACAATAGACTTGTAGTTATCCACTCACCTGAACATAGACAAATGGAAACTGTGGAGAAAGAACAAAGGAAAATCAGCATTAGAAATATTAGTCACATATGGATGGAAGTAATTTCCAGATTTGGACTGAAGGGCAGAAGAACAACCGTCTAAGAAGTCCTTTGGGTTCTTCCTTTTCTGTACTTGCTCTATTTCCTTAGTTCTTGATGGTTAAAGGAATCTCTTCTATAATATTTTAGAGCCCCAACTTTTTGTCTTACCACAGTATGAAAATGTGATGAAATTAGAGTTTTCAAAGAATTTGTCTGTGTGAGGAACTGATTGCCAAAAGCTTAATGGTGGACTTACATCTCTCACCAGTTCCTTAAAACCAAGTCCTTGTCATGCTGCTCTCTCTGCCTCTAAGCGCGTGGTTGCACCCACTGCCAGAAACATCTGCACATCTGTCACTTTCAATGGAAACTTGTCCCACCCATTTTTCAGTAATGAGATCCCTGCCTACATGCTTAGCCACATACAATCCTTTGCAAATCTGGTTTTAAACACCTATATCCCTTTGAAAAAGGGGATATGTTTCTCAGTCAATAGAGACAGGTGGAGTGTGTCCCAGGACAGGATATGGAATGGGTCAAGGATGGTGTGAGTAAGAAAGGATCATATGCTTTAAAGGCTGTCTTCAGTGGTTCTGGATGATGACAGTAATGATGTTAATTGGGAATTAAGCCTCCTGGTTAACAACAAAGAATTATGGCTCTACCTTCTCATTCAGCGGGTAGAAGTCTTTGTCCAGAGAGACGATCCGAAACAGAACTGAAGGGTGTAACGGAAAAGAAGGAAATTCCACTGTTAAATTTGTAGCTATTACCAGGAAATGCCAGGGTTTCAATAATTTATAACTCAGATTCATTCCATGGATCAACAGGCTCTGAATTGAGATCTCTAAATTATGGAAGCAATTACTTCAGGCTCTTTCTCTTGCAGATGGTGAAAGGCAGATAAATTTAGAAGGATAATCAGGTCTTGGCTGAACTGAATTGTCCCTTGTGAATGCCTGTCCTGCTTTGTTGATTCAGGTGCAGCCAAGGGAGACTATGCTTTGAAGTCATCCCAGATTCATGCCTCTAGCTGAGGAGAATGAACTTGAGCCTGTGCCTACATCTGGCTGAGATGCTGTGCCTGGAGGATGGAGAGTAGGAATGATGAAGGTACTACATGCCCTAGAACTCAGCTGACAGAAATAAGATTTACTGAGCGTTTTAATTCCCCCCATGAAGATGTCTGAAAACTTTAATAAAAGTATGGGGCCTCTGGGGAATGAAGCCCGTAAGATTTTCTGCTGTCAGAGTCAACACCAACCCAATTCCCCATACCTGTCTGTCCGGGCTTGTAGATGGGTTTGTCTGTCTGGACGAAGACCAAGCTCTCAGAATTCTTGATCAGCACCGATTTGCGGCTCCTGAACTGTAGTGTCGCGCCCTTCACTGTCACAGTGAGAAATGCCACTGATGTGCTATTGGATTTTGGAAGCTAAGGAAAATGAAGAGGATAACTGCTTTACTGATTCACCCATTGCACTAAGCCTTTGAAGTATTAGCTAGGTCTGAAAGTTCCGTAAATGGACACCAAAGACTCAGTGCTGGAAGCAAGAGAAAAACATGATTTTCTGATATGAACTTGGAGGGCTTGTCTCCTCTGTCTCAAGAAAATCTTCGTTTTCCTTCAGGAAATGTTGCAATGATAGATCTTCTCAATTTCCTTGTGTTTCCTCTATGTTTTTTCTTCCTCTCCTTCCAATACTGGAAGCCTTTTCCCTTCCTTCATTTATACACTTTCCTTAGAGAGATATTGAATCTGATCTTGTTCCATCCTATGATTTATCAAAATGGAAATCAACCCAGATTCATTATTTAGGGGGTGGGACCCGTTGCTTAGATTACTCACCAACCAGGAAACAATCATGCATAGGCTCCAGAAGGAGACAAATGACCTTATGGACCTCATTGTCTTTAACCATTCCCCAGCTTCTACTGTTCTCATTCCATTTCGCTATTTTTCCTCTGAGGCTTACACAGATCAAACAAACATGGAGTATGTTCTGTCAGTCAAAGTTCTAGGATGAAGGATCGCAAAAGAGTTCTCTAAGCCCTGCATGCACAGAAATATCATGTGGGACACAGAATTTGATAATGGTGGAAAATTATTCCTCATGAGGCTACCACAGTCAATTTTCCACATCAAATTCATTTTTTGTTTGGCTTAGCTTAGAAGTCTCTGACTGCAACGTGTCTTATTTCTCATTTCTGGACTGTTTAGATCTACTGCGCCACATCAATAAACACAAAGGATCATTCCACAAGGATGAGATACTCACAGAGAAAGGGATGCAGGTGAACACGTCCTTCTCTGACACCACGTCATCAATCAAGCTCCTGTTTTCCCCCTGATACTCGAGTGTGGCACTCAGCGTCACGGACTCATTCAGGTGGGTCAGCTGAACACAGGCTTTCTCAGGAGAATCAGTGTGTATCAGAAAGGGCAGTAGCACCATATACTGCCTAGGAAGAGAGGGAAACAAGAATCAGAAGGATCAGAAATGTGAAACAGTTTTAAGGAAACAGTATTAAGTGAAAGGAAATTAACAAATCAGCACGCCTAATCCATTACTATCCCTGTGAATTGCAGTGCATATACACATGAGCATTCATTTTACTTTGGGTTTATACATATTAAACTGCCTAGCTAATTAGCCTAAAAGCAGGAAGATGCTTGAAGTGGAAGGAACAATTTCTATGCTAATAGAGTTCTTTACAAAGAACGTTTTGTTCGGCTTCGCAGCAGGGAGTAAGGACGGTGTGAAAGGTTCCAGGCTGTTAATTGATTTTTGTATAACCCACAATCTCCTATTGAGACTCAAAGGCATTAGCTAAAAAAGGTTGAAAATTCAGCAGTTTTAGGGTGGAAAAAACCACCCACTTGTCTGATTGCTCCTGTCTTTGCCTATCCAGGTTTCCAAATCCTTCTCATGCTGAGCAAAAATGTGAGTGCTTGCAGTTTGGGACCTTATTAAGATGAGCACACAAAGGGTTTCAGAGACTAGTGGTTTATTGCAACACAAGTGTACTTGCATCTTCGAAGAGCTTTTGACAAAGCTCACAAAAGACCCTTAAACTAAGCTGCCATCCCATAAAAGGGATCATTTTACTAATTTTTTACCAATAAATCAAATTATTAATTCTGACCTGGATTAATTGGTTGAAAGGACACAAAGGGTAGGAACCAGTGAAAATCTCCGGAGTCTGTGCTGGGATCCCTGTTGTTCAGTACACTTCTAAATGATCCAGGAAGTACAATTTTCTGGTAATTGTCCGGAGTAGGAAAATACCTAAAACTGACTTACATATTTGTGGAAAACTTTTGTCATATGGTGGGACTGCGCAGCAAAAATGACAAATGAACTGTTCATAAAAGGAAAATAATCAATAGAGGAAGAAAAAATTACCCCAACAGTACATATGCTATCGTGTATACGCTGTATCACTAAGTGGGGTATTACCACTTAGGCATGAGCGCTGTTGATCACTCTGGGAAAATTCTCATTCGACTGTAGGGAAGTGTTCAGAAAGGAATAGAGGACAAATCAGAACACGTGGTTTTGCGATTGTATAATTGCAAGGTACTTCCACATGTGATATACGGCATGCTGGTTGGCTCCCATTTAAAAAATGGATTTAGCAGAAAAGATTCAGTGGAAGATGGCAGAGATGATCTGAAATCTGGAATGATTTCCATAGGGGGAGCCACTACATAGATTAGGACTCTTCAGCCTGGAAAAAGGCATGACAGAAAGCTATAAAGTCATGATGTGCACAAAAGAAATTATGGTTTGTTCACCACCTGTGACGATGTGTGTACTAAACAACACCAGCTGAAAATATTAAGTAACTGGCTTAGAAAAAATACAAGGAAGCAGAAACTTTGTCACTAATGTACAAAATTAAACTGAGGAACTTAATGCTGCCAGATGCTGTAAAGTCAAAATGTTCAATTCTGATATGGCCAGCTTGTGGCTCTTGAGCCATCTGGTGCTCTCAAGCAGTCCAAGAAGGGCACATACAGCCAGGCTGCATCAGGTGATAGACAGTAGCCGACTGTCCTCTGGGTGAGGAGGACAAAAGGAGCCAGCAGGTGCCACTGATTTGGATAATTAGGCCTTACCTGCGTGTCCAGCCAAGTGCAGGCCCTTAAAAGAAGCTGTCGCTCCCCACCTGCCAGTAACTCTCCAAGGCATATGGTATCTGCCCTATGGCACCAGCTATATAAAATTTGGTATGAGGCTCATAAGGGCAAGAAGATCAGCTACTCCTGATACGAAGGTTATAAAAAATGTCCTGGGTAAATTTGTTGCCCAGAAATGGCTAGAAAGCATAGCGGCACAGGTGTAATCCCTGCCACAATAAGACCTTGAACCTCTGATATAAGCTCCATAAGGCTATAGCAGATGGGAAACTCATTTCCACAGTACTTGCCTTGCTCCTCTACTCTGTCGCTCAGCACCTACAACTGGCCACCAACACAGATAGAATACAGAGCTAATGTAGTCCTCTGGTCTGATGCTGGACCGTTTTTATGGACCTGGTATTTCTTTTTCCCTGTGCACATTCAAGCTATCCAGATGCAGCAGCAGGAGCTTCTGGTGGCAATGCAGTCTGCAGGGCATACTAACCACTGTATGCCTAGGAGGAAACATGTGGTCAGGACTGCTCATACCACTTTTCCGTGGGCCCTCTACCGGGGAAGGCTAACGTCCACCTTGCCAGATGGTGGCAGCCCTGGGGAGAGAGATAGCTGGGCCTGTCCAGAGCTACATTATTGCCTGGGCTCTGAGCTTTTAGGAAGTCCTAAAGCTACTGTGGAGGCAGTGGGACCCAGGCAGTACCTTCATTTCCCTTAACCCCAGGCAATGGGATAAAGTGTGGCGAGGAGCCAGCCAGCAACTCTGGTCAGTGCATGCTGCTGCAGAAGCAGTGAAAGGAGGGAGCTCCAGCCACCCAGGGAGTGACTTACAGCTTGTGACTATCTGCTTGCTCCGGCGCTCCCCTTCCTTCAGAGCCTTCTCACCACAGCTTCACCCCGTGCCTGCTTCCCCTAATCTCATTTTCCCTGCCCCCTGTCAGTGGCACTGGCAATCTGACTGTAGCATCCAGTCTACCGAAGGGACAGCGTGACCTAGTTCGTGGGGAATTTGGCCTCATTCCTCTTCCTGTTCAGTGTTCTGCTGAAATTTTGGCCAACGTGCAGAACTTTCCCCTACACCAGCTTCCCTGCCTTTGAAACAAGGATATGAAATACGCTGTTTATAGACCTCCCTTTAGCTGTTTTGGGATGTGTTGGTGGAAAGAGCTAGATGTATTAAAGTACTATGAGGGCTTTAAATAACTTGGGTCAGAAAGTCCATGTATAGACATTCCAGGACAAAAAGCACCTGGGCTGCCAAAAGAGACCTCAGCAGCCTCCTTGCATGCAATGAACTGTTCTGAAAACAGAGGCAGTGACTCCGGCAGAATCAGGCAACAAGGAGGGATAGGAGACCCTAGAGAAAGTGGCTGAGGCAAAAATGACGAGTTTATCTGTGTACAGCAGGTAATACGCTAGCTTAAGATGGACTAATGTCTGTGTATTGACTCTCAGCTACTTCCTGGAACAAACACCCAACCAAAGAAGCCAGTGAATTTCATCAGCTCCAGCAATCCAAATCCACACCTGCCAATTCATGTGCCATCATGACCTTGCATTTCTGACTATATGCAGTATATTCCCAAGCATGGACACTGCATTGTAAAGTAGCTAGCATGCACAGCGACATATCAGAATAGGAGAACGATACCTCCTATTGAATTCTTCCCGAACAGATCCAGAGCAAGAAAAAAAAAATCTCACTGTCAGTATCTTACAGAATCATAAAATTTTTGGTTGCAAGGGATCTCTGGATGTCTCAAGCCCAACTTCTCTCCTCGAACAGGACTGTTGCAAAGGACCCCATAGATGGAGTTTCCACCATCTCTCTAGGTCACCTGTTCCAGTGCTGCACTAACTTGGTGAAGAAGTTTTTTTTCTCATATATAGTCTGAACCTTAACTGTGTCTCCTGTGCTGCCAGCCATATCTGAAACAGAAATAACAGCAACTGCTGCTGCTCAAAGAAGCTATCTCCCTAGTTGTGCTGGGCACAGGAAGCAAGCTTTGGCTGGAAACTTCATTTTGTCTTCAACTCAAGGGTGGCTTCCTTTCTGTGTTGTACACAGCATCTGGTCTACCCTGCAGCACTTAAAACAGAACCACTACCCTCACACCTACCTAGCAATTCACTGCTCAGACTCCACTGACTCCCTGCTCCCCAACCGTTTACTGGGCTCCTATCTTCATTCGGTGGATTCCAACTACACCCCCCTCTCCCGCACCTCTCTCAGCCCTTTCTCCTTCTCCCCTCCCAAAATGGTGACCAGGTCAGGGATAAAGAGTAGCAGGTTGCTCACAGGAGGAGAGGCCTGAGCAGTACGGATTCATTCCCTTTCCCCGTGATCTTGGGCAGGGATGAATTAAGATTACTTAATTACTTAATTACATCAGATTACTGTAGGAAGACCAGAGAGCTCAGCCTGACCCCAAAGCAGACATGGCTGGCTGATCTGTCCCAGAAGCACCCAAAGAGGGCAGATGAATGGGAGGTTGATGGTACAGTGAGTCAAAGGTCTTTCAGTCTGGGCCGGTCACCAGTTCACCTCTGACCACACAGTGAGCGGCAGCAGTAGCACTGCACCTTCTGCCACGGCTGCTAGCACTGCTGCGGTGCTTGTGGGCATGAAACCTGTGTGGCAAGCATTACGAGACCCGCAGCGGTGAGAACTGCGCTTCTGCCAGCGCAGCAAGAGGCACAGCGTGTGACAGCAGCCAGGGTCTGAAGAGGGAGGCTGCTCCCATCCAGACTAGAGGCTCCAGAGCAGTCCTCTCTGGTAGGCGAGGCTGGCGTGGGGATGCCAGCCTCCAGTCTGCCCGTGCCATCCCAGGCTGCCCCCCCTCCTTGGGGACCTCAGGAGAGCGGGCCCTGCAGCCATGCTGCAGGCCTGCAGAGCCCTGGGGTGGATGCCCCAGGGGAGGGTGCCAGCGCCGGGCTCCCTGCCAGAGGAAGAGAATCTAGGTCACAGATCCTCTTTGGGAACAAGTACATCTGATGCTGCCAAGGGAAACAAACTGGCTTGAAAGAAACAGGAGAAAGGGGAGCAAACCGGCTTGAAAGCAACAGGAGAACGTGGAGAAATAACTCGGTGATTGAAACAAGCATACTACAGGAAAGGTAAGCACAAAACCCCAGGCAGCTGAAGGTTTCTAGGCAGGAATATGCTTAGGCAAAGATGTTGTGAGGATCCAGGGCTGGACTAGCAGGCAGCTGCAGGGCAGGATTATGGGCACTGGCAGAGCTGTGGGGGGTCCCAGGGCTGGACAACCAGGGGGCTGCAGGGTGGGAGTGGGGAGCACTGGCAGAGCTGTGCAGGAAGCTCAGGGCTTGGCTAGTAGTGGGATGCGGGGCAGCAGTGGAAGAAACTGGCACAGCGGATTGACAGAAAGGAAGAAAACTGAAGGAAAAAAGGAGAATTAAGACCTCCCTCCCCCCTCCACATGTGCAGCTTACGGTTCTGTGGTGGGAGAGGTATTTCCAGGAAGGAAGAAGAGGAGAAGGAGGAAGATGTTTGGTTTGATGAGCAGCCCGTCCTTCCCCATGGTGCAGAGCAGGTCGTGGTGAGTGAAGCAGACACCCAGCCTGGTCTGGTGCTGCTGTTTTCCTGCACCTTGTAATTCCCCTCCACTCTCTGCTGGGTCAGCCTCTTTATAACTGCTCTTTGTAAACAGCCCAGGGGCTGGAGGAGATAAGGGCTGGGGGCCAGGACCCGTCCGGAAATGGGGAGAGGCGGTAAGGAGGAGCTGGAACTGAGGGACAGTATTTGGCCAGAGACTTTCCAAGTGGGGGAAAGGTATTTATTGGATAGTGCTTATATTAGAAATCTTTGAATGATTCGAACCCTGCTTTTTTTTAACCCACCAGAAATCCACAGTGTTGGGGAAATGAACTATGTTCAACACAGGGTAATATTCCCTGTAGGCATCATCCAATCACAGCACTCTGATGTAGGGTACTGTGATCTTTTGAAGCCAAAAGCCAGGTTTATAGGTATTTTAAGAACAAAAGGAAACCCACAGACAGAAACATTGCCCAGAATACGTTACATTACGAATTAACATTAACAGAATACTGCAGTAGTTTGCTGACACAGTTGCTAACAGAGCTGCTAGGGGTTAGACAATTGATCTGTCAGGAATATAACCCAAAATGAGGTAGAGTACTGGTCTAGATAAGGAAATAAGTTCTGTCTCCACTGTGAATATGCACAAATATTACACAATGCCGTTGGGAGACATCCTTGCCTCCCCAGCATGGTGATCATCTTCCATCATTCAGTCTCACCTGGAGCGCAGATGTTCCAGGTGTTCCGGGTGGCTCCTCCTTCCCTTTGCCAGATTCAGATCTGTGCTGCTGTGAGTCATGCTTGTAACAAAACTCACTCAGAAATAGTGCTGCTTACTTGACTCGGTCTTCTGCAAACCTCTGGTTGTAGCAGCTTATACAGAAGTTGGATTTAGTAAGAAAAAAGTTTGCTAAATTCCAGCAGGTCATAGAACAGAAATATTCAGTCCAAACTACAAGCGTTCCCTGAGAAGCCTAACTAGGTGGGGTGTTTGCACCAGTCCACAGAAAACTGCAAAATTCCAGCTACAGGGCTGTCAGCATGCTCTCCAGTGCCTGTGAGTGAAAGGATTCGGTAACACTCTTTATAGAGATTCATGATCCCTGTGAAGATATCTGTTGTGCACAAATAACCCAGCAGAGAAAATGCTTCAGCACAAACCGCCTTGAATGTGTCTATGTGAAGCCACGTTAATGGCAGAGGTTCTCTGTTCTGTGCAAGGGAGCTTATTAGGTCACAACAGCACAGGCAATGCTCTTTGCCTGAAGATTAAGCTTTGAAAAAGAGTGAATGTTAAGACTGAACGTTAGCTATATAGTGTGTCTTGACTCTGATGTAGTAGCCAGAAAACTGCAGGGAAGAGCAGTGCAGAAATGTTTGGGGCTGAAAGGAAGTTTAAGAATGGTGTTAAAAAATCAGGCACAGTCTCTTGTGGAATAAAATTTAACACCTTTTATAAATCACAAAAGTTAGGAAAACAGTCAGGAGGCAGCCAGCATCTGCTGATGGGAAGTGTTGTATAAATGTCATATGGAGAAGGAATGAACACATACACAACCCAAAAGATTTAGCAGATTATCAGTTAGAGATGGAAATACTGATAATAAAGTGGTTGTGTAACTACCAAGTAATAGAAACCATACAGATCTTTCTCCAGAAATGCCCCCTATTGTCTGTCCTCTCACTCGCATCTTCGACTTCTCCAGTAAATAACTCGTGCAAAATAGCAGTTTTCAAAGCAATAGCGTGCTGGGCATTTGCTAGAAAACATGACTCATGCCAAGTTGCCTGTTGTCATTCAGGATGCTGTAAACTGAAACCAAAAAGAAATCCGAATGGACACATGCAAAGTACACTTTAAGGATGAGCATGTAAAACTAAAATTCATAGATCTACAGAGCCATCAAAACCAGCGACTCAATGGAGATCCTATTCACTATCGTCTTCTTCCTTCTACTAACCAATTTAACATCCACAAGGTATAAAATACCTGATTCTCAGTCCTCCAGGAACCACTTACCAGCTCTCTGACACCCTAATGCCCACTTTGCTCCACAAGCACTAACTGCCCTTTAGCTCAGGCAGTTGGTGCTTCAGCTGGTTCCTCTCTCAGAAAGCTCAGAACAGGTGGTCCCAACTTTTACTTAGCTTGAAAGCTTTTGGGTGCTTTTTCAGACCTGAAGGAGAGATTGTGTGTCTGAAAGACTGGCTACTTCTTCCAACAAGGCTAGCTGGTCTAATAAAAGATATCACTGCTGAAAAAGGCATGCAACATCTTTGCCATACTCGGTGATGGCTTCAGTGAACTGGCAGTCATGATTTTAACCACAGGAAAGATATTTCCTCTTATGATAATACTTCTTATGTGTCTGAGGTCACTGCGCACCTGGCAGATCAAGAGACAATCTGTACGTATCTAGTATCTTCAGCGACTAGTCCCCACATTAAGCTGGTACAAAAAGCCAAGTGAATCATTGTACCTAACTGTCGATCACAAAGAATTTCAATTAGGCCACATCACCAGTAAATGGTTGATATAGCCAAAATGCCTAAATCTAATTTCTTATAATCCTCCAAGCAGAGTGGTTTTCTATACTAAATTATAGCCATTAACTTTGGTTCATCCTGCTTGAAAATGAATGATTACATATGTTTACTCTCACTTTTAAAGGCAGCACTTGGCAGTTCCATAGAAGGTTTTTGAAACTTACTCATTTCCAATGCTAAATTAAAATTATAACAGTATTCTAAAATTTTATTGTGTTCTAAAGAAATGTGTTGGGAAAATTAGCTTAATTCTAGATAATTCCCAGAGAGGTTACAGTGATTTACTGGTAAGTTACATGTGCTGACGCATTGGATTTCCTTTCCAGGTATTATCGTATTGAAATGGAGCAAGACACCAAGTCAGTAAGAAATGGATGCCATGGGAGCACTTCTACTTTGCCTGAATGTATGATTATGACTATTTTTTTTTATTTTTCTGGAGCATTTCATTCTCCACAATATTTCCTTTGCAGGTTCCGTTCCACCAGCACTTTAAAATATATTATTCTGAATTGGACTGACTGACACAAAAGATGCAATTAATAAGTAAATACAGGCCATCATAAATATTGATGAATTCCAGTCACAGCAAAACTTATTCTGCAAAGTTTGCTATAAGCCATACAGTCTTCACTGCATTGCCTAGCAAAGATGACAGAAAAATGTGAAGTGTCCTACACCTCCAAATTTATGACCACTATAGAAAATGTATTTTCCCATGAAAATAAAGTGAGATATTGAGAGGTGCAATTTTAATCACCTCAACCCAATTCTGGTATATTTTCCTCTGACTTCTTTTCAGTTTCTATTGTTCAGCTTTGTAGATGACTACCAATAGTCCAGTAACAGAGTGGCTCACCGGTCACTGCAATTGCAGGAAGAAAAGGTATTGGTGGGTGGGTGTAAATAGCCTTAGTACTATCATAACACTATTATGTGCAGGAATCCTTGTCTACCCCAGCAGTCTTAAGCAATTTTGGAACCACTTGTCACCAAAGGTAAATAATCCCGAGAAAGACACCTGCTTCTTTACTATGTTCCTGTTCTGCCTCCTCGAGGACTGTAGCACAATGCTCAGCCCTTAAAGCCAAACCAAAGCAATAAACTGAACTTCAATCTTTGGCTTTCAAGAAGAGGCACGTGTTAAAAGAAAAATCTGAGGAAACAGTTCTTGGTAACACTGGTATCGTGCCTAAAGTCGTCCACGCACTTTCACCTAAGAACCCCTGGTGGAAACCAGCAGCTTTAGCAAAGGGATGTCTCTCTTCGGTTTTGCATGGGGACAGGTGAGAAAACAGTCACTGTAAAATCTGAGACTTATATTAACAGCTCTGGTTAACAAAATTGTGTTAGCTGTTCAGCTAAAGGCTGAAAAAAATCCTTAAGGAGAAAAAAGAAAAAAGAATTCAGTATTTTATTTTAAAGGAAATTCAAATAATGATATTAGTTTCCCCCGCCTATGTATCTAAAGCGAAGAAACCCAAAGCAATTTATTTCAAATGACAAAAAAAACATTACAAGAAAAAGTACTTGTATAAATTAATAGGAGTAACAGCAATATCCAGAGAGATAAAAAAGGGTTTATTATTGTGTGGGAGACAAAATATTTCACAGGCCATAGTGAAGAGAAGGTCCCATATCAGAACACCTCGGACAATATGAACATTATACGAGTTGCAACATGCAGATAAAGGAAGATATGCAACAAAATGAAACACCATAAAAAGGCTTCATCAGCTAAACTTCAAATTAAACTGAAAGTATCAGAGCAAATAAAGATTATCCACTTTAGTGGCTTGTTGAATATCTTAACCTGAGAGAAGGGCCTGGTGGCAGATTAACTGCCTCTCCCAGGCACGGACAGCTGGGCTGCCAAATATAACTCATATTTCTGTAGTGCCATATGAACAAAAGAGTAAATTCAGGCATGGCAAAGGCATCAATTAATTACTTTCATTTTAATGCATTTTGTAGATTAAATTGCAAACCAAATTGGTAGCTGGGTTTTATAAATAGTCCTGTGACTGTGTTTTGTGTGATGTAAGGCTAGCCTATTTGTAGGGTAAGCCCTATACGAAGTAGGGTTTATCCACCTTTCCCAGCTATATTATAACAAACATCACCTCTATGTATAAACTTGGTCTTCCCTTAAAAGAAACCTATACTGTATGTTGCCGAAAAGGCTGCAACCAAGGTTGTTAACCCTCTGGCATGAGAAATCTGCAGTGTGTCTGTCTGATACTTATAGTGCACAGTACACACAGAGTAAGATCAGTTGTTGAAATGCCACTATTAAATCCATTAAAGGTAATTAGTGAATGATATCTAATAATTTTAAAATATATAAACAAGAAACTAGCAGTTTGCATCTTCACAGGTATTTTTTGTATGTTACAGAGAATTTAAGATAATCCCTGATGTAGTAAAGAATGAAAAGCTATTTTAATTTATACATTTGTATTACTCAGACTATTGCCAAAGAAGGGGAGAAAAAAAGCCAAAGCATTTACAAATGTGTCTGAAAACAGAACCTGGGACAATTA